TGTCGTCTCCGTGTTGTAACACTACGCCGCTTGTCCCGGCTCTCACTTCTTCACTCAGGAAACCTGTTCGGCTGTCCCCCCGGGTCGGGACACCCAGGGGGTGATTTCTCACTTTCTGTCTCTCAGTCTCTCTGTCTAACAAGTATATACACCCTATAACAAAAATCTCTCTCTCTAAAAAAAGAAGAAACATGTACATAGAGACTGTGAAGTGGGGGACTTGTACGGGGAACTAAGTGGTTTTATCTGGCTGAAAGGTGCCACCCTGGGAAGAAGAGCAACAGGGGATGAGACAGGAAAGAAAGGGCATACAGGGAGAGAGAGAGAGAGAGAGAGAAGGGAAGTGAGAAGAGAAGAAAGGAAAGAAGGAGGGTGGGAAGAAGGAAGGGAGGAAGGAAGGAAGAAGACTAGGGAAGGCCTTGAAAGCCAGGCTGAGGGCCCTGGGCTTCAGTATGTAGACTCCCAGTTGTCAAATAATATACTGTGGTCAGGCATGTATCCTGAATTCTTCCTTCATAATTGTGTTAACTAAGTTTTTTTTGTTTGTTTATTTTGTTTTGTTTTATTTTGCCATAGGGTACATGTGCTTGCTGGAGAAAATCAAAGATAGATAGATGAATGAGAAATCATACCACCACCACCCCCAGAGGGGATGGCCACACCACCATCCCTTCTCCATTCGTCTCTTAGGATTTTAGGCATGTATAAACACGTACCCAGTGTGATTTTCAAGCCACTGGGTCTGGATCTCGAACCTCAGTCAGCCATGTCGGAGAGTCCAGTGCCTTAGCCACCTTGCCACCTGCTGGCCCTACTACCCAAGTTCTAATCACTGTCTGATAATCCATTTCTGCTTCAGGTAAAGACACACTGTCATGGTAAGGCCAGTCAGAAGAAATGTTCTACTGTTGGTGGATCAAGTGGCAGGCAATCAGCAGTGGTAGAATATAGGATGAGTAAGAGGTGGGAGGGGCCATATAATAAAGGCATTGCTAAAGGAAAGTTGAGTGTTGGCTGGAACACCTGAAAACCTTGTCTCCTCAGTCTATAAAAGTACCATCAGGCGGTACACAGTTCTTCTCAGACAGGAATTCCATGCTGAAAGGCAACTACTTGGGTGATACCATTAACTGTGGATGCTTTTATAGACCCTGGCATGTGTCAAGTCACTTACATTTGTCAACTTCTTAATTTACTTTTTGTTTTTATTTATTTTTCATGATCGAGAGTGTGTGTGCATGTACAAGACCGAAAAAAAAAAAAAAAAAAAACAGGAGAAAGCACCTTCAACAGGATTCCACTATGCCATGACCCTCTCTCCCTAGCCCTCCAGCTCCTCAGATCTGGACATTTATTGAGGGCCAACTATATGCTCGCCACATGCAAGCTACTAGGTAGAGAATACCAAAAATTGCATGGAGATAGAAAAATAAAGCGCAGGTTGATTGAACAAAGGTTAGCCAGGTGGCCTCAAGCTCTGTAGTCCAGCACCCCATTACTGTGCCTCCCAAGTTGGCCTGCACGCTTCTCTAGTATCCTTTTGATTCATTTAATCTGGATTTGAGTCCTAGCTCTGCCATTTATCCTTGATCATGTTTCAAACCTCTTACTTCTGTTTCTTCATCTGCAGAATACAGACATTAGGAACCTCATAGGGCTGCGTAAGGCCTGACTGAAATAACACATGACAAAGCCCTCTACCAAGTGCCTCACACGGAGCAACTGCCTGCTCAATAGCAGATGTTGTTATTGAGTTGTCAGAAAACTCAGCATAGATTTTTCTATGCCAAAATGTGTCGTGACTTTTCCGACACCCCAATATCTTACTGTCTTCATATGGGTCATCCAAAAATTCTAGAATTCAAAATTGGGCAGAGAACACATATGTCCAATGTGTCTTAGGAACTACAGAAAAGAGGGAGTCTCTAAGAGTGTCTGCGTAGGGTGTGCCAGGATCAGAACTCAGACAAGCAGCCGCAGTGTGATAAGGACCAATATTTATGTAGCACTTCTGTGTACCCAGCCTCTTCTGAAGCAAGTTACGTGTGTGACAGTTGGCATGAAGTGGAGTAGAGAGAGGCTGGGGGAGGGTGTGGGGGGGGATCAATCCAGAGCCAAGTAAGAAGCAAGAGCTTTGATCAGAGCATGTAACAAACAGTGGAAGACCCAAAAAACCTGACAGATGCCAAATTGCACAGGAAAAGGGCAAAAAGGGAAGCCAAGCAAGGCGGAAAACCTCTCTGGAGCCCAAGTGGCAAGACAGATGGCAGTGCGCAAATAGATGTCATGGCTGGGGTTGGCTAAGTGACCCAAAACACAGGCTCTCCCTCCCAAAGGGGTTTTCTTTTCTTTCTTTCTTTTGTGTTTTAAATGACAGAAAAAGAAGCCTCTGCCTCAGTCTCCTAGTTAGCTAGGACCACAAGTGCATGCCATTACCCCTGGCCCGTCCAAGTTGGTCCAGGACCGGAACCAGGGTCTCCTAGGTGGCCCTAGCCTTGTGCCACCGTGGCTGGGCACTAAAGGGATCATTTTGAGAATCACTTGGTGGTACTGAGATAATGAACTACCATTTGATAAACATGAATTATTGAGTTTAAAAAGAAGAAACTGACCTCAAAACATTTTTCTTTCTTTGCTTGATGAAGTAGGCTAGCCATTCCAGGAAGCAGAACTGGAAAGATGAAAGTTTCCAAATATTCTTTGGGGGAACCTAAAACAAACAAAAAATTCCCATTGCAAATCCCAAATGGCCCAAGTTAATCTGGGAGCAACATTTACTTCTTTCTCTTTTTTTTTTTTTTTTTGGAGAGGTTTTTGTTATAGGGTGTATGTGCTCACCAGAAAGACCAAGAGAGACAGAGAGACAGAAAGGGAGAAATCACCCCCCGGGGGGATGGCCACACCACAATCCCTTCTCCTCCATTCTCTTCTCAGGATCTTGGGCACGCACGCACATGCACACAGCGTGAGTTTAAGACATCGGGTCTGGGACTCGAACCACAGTCGACTACATAGGAGTCCAGCAACATAGCCATTACACCACCTACTGGTCCCGAGCAACGTTTACTTCTGAATCCAAAAATAAAGTGTCATCCATTCAGTCCCATGATTTTAAATGTTACAGTTTGCTCCAGACTGCTGTATTGAGCTGTATTACTAAATAAACTTAAAATGTCCCTCTGAGCCTCTGAAATTCAGCGAGGATTTAGGCTGAGTCCCACACAAGGCAGGTCCACCAGCTTGTTACAACCCCAAGGCAGTCACAGCAAGGAGCCAGTGTGGTGGAAGGACATAAACAAGGGGATTGTGGGAGGCCATTTGGGATCCAGCTTCATTAATAACCAAGCCATAGAGCTGGCCCTCTCTCTTTCTCTCTCTTACATGAAAACACACTTACTCTCTATCTTAAATAAAACGTATTTATTATATGTGTATAGAATAAATAAAAATTAAAACAAGAACAGATTCTTATTTATGTGGTCTCCCTGAAGTGCATCCATTCACTCGCATGGCCCACCCTGTGGTTTTGCAATGTTAGAAGCCCAGAATATAAAAGGTGAAATCTGACTCCCTCACTTACATGTTTTTGGATCAACTGTTTCCAATTTAGCTTGAGGACAGGGTATATGTGGGGCCGTGGTGACCTGGGAAATTGGATTGTAGTGGCTGGTGGTAAAGCCATGGAAAGTTGTTGCCTCTACTGGTGAAACCTGGCAGTGGACAGGAAGAGAGCCAATTCATATCAACAGTTTAAATCATTATATATTTTTTAATAACTTAAGAAATTAAATTCTATAGCAGACTTTAGGTTCAATGGGGTACACAGAGTACAAATCTTTGTCTCCACTCTCCCCTGAGATAGCTATAAATGATAATCAAGGGGCAAACCCCCAACAGAGAAAAGAACAGGAGGACCCTCTGTGAATAAGAGATTTTTCAAAGATAACCCAAAGAAACAGGATAAAGCCTGTTTCCTCCCCAGGGGAGATGGCCATGCCATAATCCCTTCTCCTCCATTCTTCTCTTGGAATTTTGGGCATGCACATGTACCTGGTGTGATTTTCAAACCACCAGGTATGATGAATGGCAGTCGGCCATACTGGAGTCCAGTGCCTTAACCACTATGCTGCCCTCTGGCCCCTGAAGCCTTTCTTTAATCTAGAGGAGGAGTGATAGTCACAGAGAGAACTGCCCCAGAGGATGTAAGTCCACGTTCCCATCAGAATTCCAAAGGGGCTCAATGCCCAGAGTTGACAGGCATTAAGGCAGGTGGGAATGAGAAAGGGAAAGATACGTAGCCAGGCTACCTGAAAATCTGGCTGGCTCCACTGGCCTGCTGCCTGCACTCTCCCACCTCCTGCCCTGGCCCTCCCAATATACAGGAAGCTGGGTTTGGCCAGCATTTTCAATCCAGCTCCCCCTCCTCCACAGTGACTATTTGGTAAATGGAACAAACAGCCTGGGAAGGGAAACTACTCAGGATACCATAGCCAAGAAAGGTCCTACTCATCAGGATCTCACTTAAGCCCCATAGAGGTTCTGTGAGTTAGTCAAAGATTATCTAATAGATGAAAAAACTAAGGTTCAAAAAAGCTACTGATCCCTGTAAGTTTTTCCATTAGTAAGAGAGCTGGGATGGGCCACATGTTCCTGGTTCTGGTTCCAGAGCCTTTTATTCAGGTTGAGGTCTGGGCAATACTCACAGTAACTGCAGCTTTCTGTTTGACTTTATATCCTTCTGGAAAGGGAGGTATTTCAGCTTCATACTCTAAAAAGAGAAAAGAACTCTCAATTCTATACTTCATTGCAGTTTGTGATATAATTTCCATTTCTCTGAATAAAACATCCTTAAATTTATTGGTTGGTGATTTAGAGAGATGAAAGACAAGTGGCCATAACAGGTTAATATTTAATGTGAACCATCTTCTTTGAAATGGATGAGAGATGTCTGGTCTCACTCATGAAAAAGTCAAGGCTTTATATAAGAGTCTGAGACATTTTTCCTCAGAATGTTTAACTTCAGATTTTTCCCAAACATTATGATAACTATAACCAATAAAAGGAGGAAGGGACAGAAGAGGGTGGATAAGGAAAGACGCAAATAGCTTCAGAGAGACTCATACTAATACATTCTACAGAGTAGCAACAGCCATCGCTGAGAGGGATAGGAAAAGTTCATGGGCTATATTGGTTATGTCCCTAAAGGAAAGACTGGTGGAACTATTTCTGGAAAGGTCAATGTTTTAAAGGCAACTGCATAGTCATTTTGCAGTGATGAGAAAAAATAAAATTTGGGGGCAAGATGGTATTGATGGACTAGTTGCAGTGGACCTGAATTTTATTCTTATTCCATTACCTGTCAGGAGTACAATATTCCTCTACTTCTCAACTTTTTTTTTTTTTTAAGCTCCTAAGTATAGGCCAGAGACTAGTTTGTCAAGCTACAGTTACAAGCACTTCTGATTCCCAATACCAGTTATTATATGTTCATTTTCTGTTGCTGCATAAAAGCTACCAGAAATTTAACAGCTTAAAATAAGGCTTTATTGGGACCAGCAGATGGCATAGCAGTTATAGCACTGGACTCCCACACAGTCAACTGAGGTTCGAGTTCCAGACCTAGCAGTTTAAAACTCACACCAGGTACGTGTGCATGTGTGCCTAAAATCCCAAGAGGACAACAGAGGAGGAAGGAACTGCAGTGTAGCCATCCCTCCACCCACCTACCCCTAGTGAGCGCATCTGCCCTATAGCAAAAATAGCTCTAAAAACAAAACAAAACAAAACAAAAACAAGACTTTATTATTATACAGGGGTCAGAAGTCCAAGTATGGATCAAAGTCTCATCAGGCAGGAGCCAGTGTTGGCCCCGCTGGGATCTTTTCTGAGGACTGGGATTCTCTGCAAATCTCACTGGTGATGGGCAGAATTGTTTCTTGTGGTTATAGGTCTAAAGTCCCTGTTGTCTTATTGACTGTCAGCTGGGAGCTGCTCTCAGCTTCTAGACCTTTTGTCTAAGGACAAATGGTTGTTGCTACTTCAAGGCCAGCTGGAGAGTCCCTCCTGCTTGAATCTCTCTGACTGCTGACTTCTTTCATAGTCTCACCCTATGAGGGCAGATGAGCCTACAATAAAAGCTAAAGCTAATTGATCAAAGACTGTAAATACATCTGGACAATCCTTTTGCAGCAACACCTAGATTAGTGCTTGCCTGAATAACTGAGAAGAATGTGCACTACAGGCCAAGAATCTTTTTTTTTTTTTTTTGAGAGATTTTTGCTATAGGGCGCATGCGCTCGCCAGACAGACAGAGAGAGACAGAGAGACAGAAAGCGAGAAATCACCTCCCCTTCCCCCCCCGGGAGAGATGGCCATGCCACAATCCCTTCTCCTCCATTCTCCTCTCGGGATCTTGGACATGCACGTATACACACCCAGCGTGAGTTTTAAGCCACCAGGTCCAGAACTCGAACCACAGTCGACTACATGGGAGTCCAGCGACATAGCCATTACACTAACTGTTGGTCCTAAGGCCAAGAATCTTGAAGGCCAGGTTGCATACCATGCCAGTTGTAGTTCTACTGCCTTTTTTCCCTCTCAGGAAAGCATATAAATTTACTCTTCTCTCATGGCCCTGAGAATCACCGATGTAGTGCAAACACTATTTATCTGGGTTTAAAGTGTGTGCAGTTGACCCACCTTACCCATGGTTTTGCCTTCTGCGATTTCAGTTACCAAGTCAACCACCAACTGAAAATAGGTAAGTATTGCACAGAACAAGATATTTTGAGAGAGAGTCACCACATTCACATAACCTTTTTGTGTGTTTGTTTCTTCCATGAGAAAACCAGAGAAACAGAGAGACAGATAGGCATCCCCACCAGGTCTTCATGTCATGATTGACTGGTTTCAATTAGCCTAGACCATGGGCACATGCATGCCTAGCACACTCAGGGAGGTCCTGGGTGGGGAGTCAAAGCAAGGACCTTTCCCATCTGAGTCCAGTTGCACCACCACTATGCCACCATCCGGCCCCTTACATAATTATGGCATATTGTTATAAATGTGTAACTGTGCTGTTTAACTATTGGCTGTTGTTAATCTCCTATTGTGCCTAGTTTATATATTAAACTTTATCATAGATATGTATGTATAGGCAAAAATAGTTTATGCAGAGTTTGGTATTACCCATCAGACATCCACTGGGAGTCTTATCCTCCACAGATAAGATGGGTGGGGTGGACTACCTACATTCATACCTTTATCTGGTTACAAATACAAGATATATTTATTGAAAGAAAACTTTAAGTTATACAGAGGTGTTTTATGTAGACAATGAGTCACATCTAAATCCACTGCAAACATACAACACATTGTTTTTGGCACAGATCTAAGCAAACCTTTTCCAACATATTTATATAATACACAAATACATTTATTTTTTAGTTTAGAATTATTTTAACTTCATTCATTTATTTTATTTTGACCAGAGAGGGACAGAGTGAGAGAGAGAGGGAAAGTGAGAAAACAAGTTGCCAGGTTTGGGACTTGAACTACATTCGGTCACATGGAAGTCCAGCACCCTTAATTACCATGCTACCTGCCAGCCCCAGATACATTTATTTACTTGATATCTCCCAGACTAGGTCAAACTGCCCAGGAGTAGACCCTTAAAAACTGTCCTTTTCCTTCATAATGCAAAGCAGTTTTATCCTTATTTGAAATTGTAAATATTAGTAACAATCTTTTGTAATCGTATGTTTTGTGAGGAATATACTTTGGTATGTTTGCACTCTGTTATATCTCAAAAGAATACTTGCTGAGTGAAGAAATGAGTAAATGGATGAACAAAACAGAGTATAGAATGCCACTTCTGACTGTACTCATTCATTCATATTTATTGACAGCTCATTATATCCCAGGAGTCACTCTGGGCATTAAATCTTGGACCTCTTTCAATGTTATCACATGCATGATGAGCCGTATTTATTTCACTGGGATATCTCAGTGGGCATTTGGGTTGTTTGCAATTTTTATTACAGTGTGGCAATGAGCGTATTTATACATATACTATTGATCCAAATGGAGATGTTTTTGTAGGATTAATCATTTTTTTAAAAGTTTATCTATTTCTTCCATGAATGAGAGACAGAGCACCTCAACAGGGTCCTGCTGCTGTAACCTACTCCCAGCCTTCAGCTAGCTCCAACCTACTCAGGGAGGTCTGCTGGAATCTCCCTATGGGGTCAACCTCACAGAAGTATTGTGTTTTACCACTGCACCACCATCCAACTCCTATTTGCCATTTCAGATAAAAATTTCCCATAACATTTCTTAGGAGCTCACTTAAAACTGATGAGAAAGAGGGGCCAGCAGGAGGCATAGTGGTTAAGGCACTGGATTCCCACATGGCTGACTGCAATCCAAGTCCTGGACTTGGCAGCTTGAAACTCATGCCAGAAGCATGTGTGTGCGTGCCCAAAATCCCTAGAGGAAAATGGCAGAGAGGGGATTGTTATATGGCCATCCTCCTTGGGGGGACAGGGGTGATTTCTTGCTTTCTGTCTCTCTGTCTCTGACTGTCTCTGCAGTGAGCACATGAGCCCTATAGCAAAACCCTCTCAAAAGGAAAAAAAATTGATAGTAAAGATACAAACTTCATCATATAACCACAAAGATGTATGTTGGAATGATTTTATGGGGAGGGATACAGTAGCTTCAGGATGATCTGATGCATTTGTTATTTAAGGCTTCTGTGATGTTTAAAAGAATTTGACATTTGAGAAGTTTGTCAGTTTTGCCTTGTGATTTCAATTTGAAATATATGATTACAGACTGGTGCTGTTATACTGGAAGGCATAAGAAAATCTGATTAAGTTTGGAAAGATTACTGAATTCTTTTAAACAACTTGATTTACCAACATTTGGTTCATTTCATTTCTAAGAGCTGTTTTGGTGCTTTGAAATACTAGTCTGCTCTGTTTTGCATTAGAAATGCTTAAGAAAATCAGGTATATTAAATTTATGTTTACAATCTTTCAATTACTGGAGCTTGTAAGTAAGATTAATTAATTGTGGAACTTAATGTTACATGTATGTTAAATTAACATTTAATCTAAGAAAAAATGGAAGTGACTGCTCATTTTATACAACAAAGGCAACACTTCTGCAAGAGGCAGAGCACAAAGCCTGGAAATCTGTTGGCAGAGTGAAGCTCTTGTGCCTAAATTGAAACATCTCCTCTCCCTGCTTCTGGGATGTGAGATAATTAAATGTCTTCATTGCTTAGGCCATTATGAGTCGGGCTTCCTGTTACTTGAACTTTTACCTGTTGCAGCCTATTATAAGGGTGTGGGCCAGGAAGGAGAAGAAGCTGCAAGTGAATGTGATGAATATTTGGCCACTATATACTATGGCAAGGATTTGAATGAGGGTGCTGGAGAGGCAGAAGAGCTTATGTTCTGCTGAGGAAGTGAACAGTAAGCCAAGGGTGATGAGATGTGAAAGTGCTGCTATAGCAGCTGCACCCAAGCTGTAACAGCAGCAAAGAGAAGGGGCTTTGAAATCAGTCTGGGGCGAGAAGTGGTGAAGTGGTTAAGACGTTGGACTCCCACATGACTGACCGTGGTTTAAGTCCTGAATCTGGTGGCTTGGAAATCACACCGGGCACATGTGCATGCATGTCCAAAATCCCAAGAGGAGAATGGAGAAAGGATTGTGGTGTGGCTAACACATGAGGGATGATTTCTTACCTTCTCTCCATTTGTCTCTGCCTCTCTCCAGCGAGTGCAAGAGCCCTATAGCAATTAAAAAAAAAAAGAAAGAAAGAAAACAAAACAAACTAAAAGAAAGAAAAGAAGGAGGAAGAAATCTGTCTGAAGCATTATGGAAGGCTTTCCAGAAGAGGAGCCACTTGGGCTGAGTCTTCAGAGATGGAGATGAGAAAAAAGCAGATGTTCCAATAAGAATTAAGGTTTAGGCAAAGGCATGGAGGTATGGGACAGTTTGGTGCAATGGAGAGCTAGCGCTGTGTGGCTAAAAGCACACAGTACAGGACAGTGGTACTGGGCCTTGTACCTTGCCTGGACAGCTTGTGTGAAAAAGAGGTCAAGGACTTGCCCTCAAGGAGTCTGACTCATCAGGTTGGGGACCAGAGCCAAGGAATCTGTATTTTGACAAGAGTCCAGGAGATTCTGAAGCAGCTGTTCCCAGTCCACCTTAAAGTAAGTGCTGGTATCTTGCTTAAAGGCTAGGACTTGAGTGTCAAAAAGGCTAGATTGAGCCCATTTCTGCCACTTATTTGGGCAAGTTGCTTAATCTCTCTCAGCTTCAATTCTCTCATCCATACAACAGACAAATCCTCGCCAAGTTACTGTGAAGCTTAAGTGAGAAGTAATACATGGTGCACAATGCCTGTCATGTAAAGAGCTATTCAGAGAATGTCTGCCATGGGACCAGTAGTTAGCGTGATGGCTATGTCACTGGACTCCCATGTAGTCAACCGTGGTTCGAGTGCTAGACCTGGGGGCTTAAACTCACACCAGGCACATGTCTGTGTGTGCCTAAGATCTCGAGAGGAGAAGAGAGGAGGAGGAATTACGGTGTGGCCATCCTCCCTGGGTGTGATTTCTCACTTTCTGTCTCTCTGTCTCTTTCCCGTGAGCGTACATACCCTATAGCAAAAACCTCTCCAAAAAAAAAAAGTCTGCCAGAAGGATGATTTGGGCAGTATGTGAAGGATAGAATCCATAAGAGGCTTATGTGTTAAGATAGGGGATTTACCATGAAAGCTATGTAAGTCACTGTAGGTGGCAGTGTTATGTGATTAGATTTGAATTTCAAAGGGCTTTCCAATACAGTGTGGAATATAGTCTGAAAGAGGCCTGCCTCCATTAAGAAGCTACAGCAACTATCCAAGCAGGGAGCGGTGAGGACCTGATCTAAGGTGGCAGATAAGAGAATTGGCTGGATCGGGAAGGTGGGGCAGGTGCTGATTATGGGAGAGGTCAAATGGGTAGAACTATGGGAATCTGCCCAAAATGTGTAGGGATCATGAAAAGCGAAAGAGAAGGATATAAGATGAAGCCCCAGTTTCTGGTCTGGGCAGCTGAGTGAACGACAGTGACATTCACTGAGACAGAGAGTAAGGTGCTGGAGTTTAGAATAGTGTCTGGAATCAAGCTTGGCCCACCATGAAAGAAACTTTTAAGATAAATACATAAAATAAAACTAGTCCCAGCACTGGTACGTACAAGTAGGCTTTATGGGAAAACAAAATTAAATTTAGCATGAGCTTATTTTGGAGCAAAACTTTTGAAGTCCATGTGTAGTTTTTCATAAGTATTTTCCACGAACTTTGTGAAGACCCCCTGAATGTATGAGAATGAGGTAGAAGCTAGTCTGCACTGGGTTGAGATAGAAACAGAAGTGACATAAACAGAAGCAGTGTGTTCCTTCCAAAATCTGGGCTGGGGGTGGAAGAACGACTGATAGTTACGAGAGGGGGCATGAGGTCAGGGTAGAGGTTCTTCCTGAGATGACAGACCAGAGGATGTCTGGAGGGAAGGCCAGTGTAGAAATTAAAGATACAGGCGAGGAGGTGAGTGAGAGACCAGGACCCTGGCATGGCAAGAGAATGGTACCAGAGCATAGACAGAGGGCTAAGTGTTGAGTTATGGGTATTTCTTCCATGTGTCCAGGTAAAAATATGTTTGTGGATAGAAGGTAGCTGGACGATTTCCTCCCCGTTCCTGACTGTGACTCTCATCAGTGATTTCCTACTATGCTACATGGCATTGCAGAGTGTTTGAGGGAGCTAAAAACTTAGACTAGATGAAGGCAACAGGAGATGGCCCTGATGATGCTGAGCGATGAGCAGAGCTGAGGGCCATAGGTGTCATTTTTCTATGCCTTGGTCAGCTGCTGTGCTGGAGGAATAAGCACTGATTTACCACTCATTCATGTTGGTATCTGGCAGGGAGAATGAGGAGCTAGATTTTACAACAGCCATAAGGGCTGATTTGATTAATTGCTGTACGAAAGAAAACAGGATGTTGATGATTGCAACCACAGCAATATCAAACTGGAAAACTGTAAGCCCCGGATACTTTGACTCCATCTTGGTTTAGTTAAATAGTTAATAGTTTAACATTGTAAGTCACTAGTGGCTGTACCCATTTAACTAGAAGCCTTGGCAGAAAAGTTTATTGATCCTTTCAAGAGCACAAAGCCCTGAGTGGAAAGCTGAAGCAGAAAACTGAAGGACATTTACAAACAAGTTACAGAGAGGTGGACAAAAACACAAAAACACACAGAAAAGAGCACTGGTCAGGTGCTGGTCTAACTTTTTAAGTTAGATATGTACTTATTCTGTATCTTGTCTTCATGAAATTGAGTTTCTGGCAAGTCTAACTTGGTTTTTTTTTTTTTTAAGAATTATTTAATGGGACCAGCAGTTAGCGTAATGGCTATGTTGCTGGACTCCTATGTAGTCGACCACGGTTCGAGTCCCAGACCCGGCAGCTTAAACTCACGCCGGGCATGTGTGCGTGAGTGCCCAAGATCCCGAGAGGAGAACGGAGAAGAGATTGCAGCGTGGCCATCCCCCCGGGGGGTGATTTCTTGCTTTCTGTCTCTCTGTCTCTGGCAAGCGCATGTGCCTATAGCGAAAAATCTCTCCAAAAAAATAAAAAAAGAATTATTTAATTTTATTTATTATTATTTTCCCGTTTGATCAGAGCGAGAGAGAGAAAGTGAGAAAGCAAGCCACCAGGTCTAGGACATGAACCATGGTGGGCCATGTGGGAGTCCAGCACCTTTAACCACCATGCCACCTGCTGGCCCCTCATTTGCTTTTTTAAATAGAGATAGCCTAAAAGAATGTAATACTTTAACCCTAAAACAGGATGACCACAAAACCTGCATTGTTCATATTTGTTGTGAAAAACTGAATTTATTCATTATATATCTGTTACAGAAAGTTGCATTTGTTAGCTGTTTGTTTTAAGAATTGGAATTATTCAACCAAGTTAAAATAATCACAGTGCCCATGTGAATAATTCACCAACTCTGACCTCATTAACTTCATTTTGTAACTGTACCACTTTTTAAGTGGCATGAATTCACTTGCTTTTTAGAGAGCACCAAACGGAATCCCTTGTCATCCTTTTCTTCCTATAGTTTAGCCAAAATAAACTGATTTTAAAACACAATGCAACACATATTTCTTTGTGGACAGCACGGAACATTTATTGAGTACATTTCTGAATGCCAGGCACTGTGCTAAGCGCCTTCGTAAACATTCTTACTGGGTCCTCACCCTGTGAGGTAGGTATAATAATCCCCATTTTATAAATGAGGTTGAACAACCACCCCAACATCCCACCAGTACACTGTGTTATAAAGAACTTGTTTGGCTTGGAGACGTGAAAGCGCTGGGGAAAAGATAGCCATAATAACCAGCTTCAAATATTACAGTGGATTCTCTGTGATGCAGAAATTAGTTACTTGGATCAGAGCATCAAGGTATAAGAATCAAAGGGCGGAAGTAACAAAAATATTCAAAACACAGCTGATTTTCCCAGGGCCATGTAATGCTGGAATCAGTACTGGATGAGGGCGAAACTGATGGTCTCTGGGGGTACCAACGCTGAGTCCACGTCCTCTTCCTCCTCTGTATTGTCCACTTCTTCCGACTCATCCTTCTCTCTCTTCATGTACTGATGTACTCACTGTTTTTTCTACACAGTTTAACTGACCTGTACTGTACTGTAACCACTAACCATGCGTAGCACTTTAAACTTAGTAAAATAAGGAATTCACCTCCTCAATTGCACTAATCACGTTCCAGTTGTTCAACAGCCCCATGTGGCTGGTGGCTACCATACCTGATGGCGCAGTTCTATTCGATGTCTATGAGACAGTGCTGGTTCAGACAGCTGAGGGAGTGACAGCAGCCTCAACAATGAAAAGTCCTTGACCTTGAGGAGTTTACAGTCTAGCTGGGAAAAAACCATCCGACAGCATTCATGAAGAGCTAACACTTGACTCAGTTCTTGCAGTGGTTCAGGAGAGTGGCCAGCACTTTCTGCGCCCATCTGGTTCTATCCTAGCGCCAGAAAGTAGGTGCCATTATCATGTCCGCTTCACAGAGAGGTTCCGAAGTTAGGTGAAGAGTGCGGCAGGGCCCCCGGACCAAGGTGTAGGGAGGGCCACCAAGGAGAGCCAGACTCCGTTGGGGGATGTTAGGGAGGATAGAAGAAAGGATTAAAATCCGCTTCTACCACACGGTTACTCAACGTGTGGGCCACCGCCGTGCCACCTACCTAGACGTCCCTGGGATGCGCCTATTGGAAACACATTTTCGCACGGTCCCCACCCAGGCCCCAGCGATTCCTTTCTGTCCACTCGATGGGCTTAGGAGTCGCCGTTCCCACCCGGCCCTCTCCACCCGTTCATCCCGCCTCCCCCCCGTCGCGGGCCTGACTAGGGTTCGGGTAGCGGGCGCCCCGGGGGGCCGGTTCCCCGTCCGACGTCAGCGCCTGGCGCACCGTGGCCGCCCGCGCGGGC